GGGGGGAACTGTATTCCTCCCAGTTTGGTTCACTTTAACAGCCAGGATAAAAGCAGCCCGCCCTAGAAATGATTTAAAATGATATGTCGAAACTGGCGTAAAAAAATGATACTATTTACTATAAGAATTGTAGTGTGATTAAAACTGCGCGATGCGTTCCCTTCTGGAAGCTGCCGTCATATTATGTGGCCGTCGTGTTATCCATGGGGTAGTCGAAATCTCATTGTGAAAGGAGAATTGTGGTGAACTAACAGTTATTCTATTCTTTCCTTTTCTATTAGGTGGTTGGAGGGTGTCACTGGTTGGTCCTAAGCATTTTCTTGCCCTCATTTGTTCATGTCTGTCTGCCTTACTTTTTGCCTGCCCTGAATGACCATTCTGGTGTCGATGTCCCCACAACAAACGTATAGACCAACCAACAAATAAACAAACAAATTAAAACAAAATAAACAAACGAACAAACAAACAGACAGACAATTAAACAAGCAAACAAGCATTACCTTTCCTAGTGAATCTGTTCTCACAGATATACTGTTGCCGGTTCTTGAAAGCCTTTGTGGCATACACTAATTCGCCTTTACACTCGCTTATGATCGGCTCTGAACAGCTGGGGTTCTTGAAGAACCTGTGAAAGATAAAGGGACATCCAAGGTTACAAATAGCTTTAAGTTAGGCTTTACCAGTGATCTTGTCTATCTCACAGTTTTGTGTTTGAGCAGGGCGGGAGGGGGGGGGGATGAATACGTTCCTTCGTATCACGCACAGTAACAACTGTAAGCTATGCGATTGTTCATTTTTTAAACATTAAATGGAGAAAAAAATTCACACCAAAAATGTTGGTGGCGACATTGATACCCATGTACTTTTAGTGTTGTTTTATTTCTTTTAAAAGTACGTACTTACTTGTTACCCATTACGCCATCTGGCGTTTAGGGCAGCAATAAAGGATCTCTCTTTTAAAATGTAGATTGTTTATTCCAATATCGACCAAATTCACATTTAGGAGGTGGGCTGTTATGATCATGCTGCTGCTGCT